TATTTCTGGATAAAATTTAAGGTTTATCCTTATATCCCAGTTCATTTTTTGATGGTGATAATAGAAGCTAACCTTGATTTAGCCATATACTTTTTATTTTTACATAATTGACATACAATATTGTGTTAGTTTCAGATATACAACATGGTGATTCAGTATTTATGTATATTACAAAATGATCACTGTAATAAGTCTATTTTCCATATGCCACCATACAAAGTTATTACAGTATTAACGACTCTATTCCCTATTCCCTCTTATTTATTTTATAACAGGAAGTTTGTACCTCTAATCCTCTTTGGCATATTCTATTTTTTGCTTATTGATTATGAGTTTGTTTATGTGACTTGCTTTGCCGATGGGATGTTAAACTTGCCAAAGTGCTTAAAGTACTTCCATTTCCTCCCTTGTTCCTTTGCCTTCCTCATGAAATCCAGCCTAAACTGCTGGAGATGAGATTCAGGGAGCAGAGCTAAGTCAGTCCAATGGTTCCAGCCCAGGCCATCATTTCTCAGATGATCCACAGCCAATTGCCAGGCATGTGAGTGAGCCCAGGTCATCACAGCCTAAATTACTGACCTACAGAAATAAAAGATAAGTAAAGTTAATTGTCGTATGCCCCTGAGGTTTTGTGATTGTCCATTATACATTATTGTGGCAATTGATAGTCATATAATAATTTACAATACTTTTCATGGTAAATCATCTTTATCTTATGCAAAAGATAAAGTATATTAAGAAAGTGTTAGTGAAAAGCAACTTATTTTGTTCTGGCCCATTAAATTCCCAAACCACCCTTCAATGGAGGATAAAATTTAAAACAATTTATCAAAATGATTAATGCAGACTGCCATTTTTGGTAGCTGAAGACAAAGGACTTTGGAGATTTGCAAAGCTATGAATCCTAAAAGTTCATTCTGAAACTCATACAACTGAAAAACATTTTTCCAGATTTTATGTCCAAAGAAGTTAGTAGTATCATTATGTGTGCCATTTCAACCTATGTGTTTTATAGTATTGAATACATACAATATAGTGTCTGCAAGTATAATCTAATAACTGACAATACTGAGAAATTATTTTTTTCTGCATTCTAAAGTCAAACTTGAAATTATTGACTTCTAAAATTTTTAAACAGAGTTGTAGTAAATATTTCTGGATAAAATTTAAGGTTTATCCTTATATCCCAGTTCATTTTTTGATGGTGATAATAGAAGCTAACCTTGATTTAGCCATATACTTTTTATTTTTACATAATTGACATACAATATTGTGTTAGTTTCAGATATACAACATGGTGATTCAATATTTATGTATATTACAAAATGATCACTGTAATAAGTCTATTTTCCATATGCCACCATACAAAGTTATTACAGTATTAACGACTCTATTCCCTATTCCCTCTTATTTATTTTATAACAGGAAGTTTGTACCTCTAATCCTCTTCACCGGTTTCATCCAGCCCCCAACGCTTCTCCTCTGTGGCTAAGCATCAGTTGTCAGTTTCTTCTTTGTATTTATTCATCAGTTTCTGTTTTGTTTGTTCATTTGTTTTGATTTTTTAGAGTCCACAAATTAGTAAAATCATAAGATATTTGTCTTTCTCTGACTTAATTTCACTTAGCATAATACCCTCTAGGTCCATTCATGTTGTTGCAAATGTCAAGATTTCTCTTTTTTTATGGCCGGTAGTGTTCTATTGTGTGTGTGTGTGTATATACACACCATTCTTCTTTATCTATTTATCTTTTAATGGATATTTAGGTTGCTTCCTTTTCTTTGTCTGTTGTAAATACATGGGGTGCATATGTTCTTTTGAATTAGTGTTTTTATGTTCTTAGGATAAATACCTAGAAGTGAAATTGCTGGATTGTATGGTAGTTCTAGTTCGAATTTTTTGAGGAACCTCCATAGTGGCTGTACCAGTTTACATTCCTATCAACAGTACATGAGGGTTCCCTTTCCTCCACATGCTCACCAACACTAGTTATTTCTTGTCTTTTTAATGACAGTTATTCTAACAGATATGAGGTGATATCTCATTGTGGCTTTGATTTGCATTTCCCTGATGGTTAGTGATGTCAAACATCTTTTCATGTGCCTATTGGCCTTCTATATGTCTTCTTTGGAAAAATACCTATTCAGGTTCTCTGCTCATTTTTTAATCACATTGTTTGTTTTTTTCGGGTTGAGTTGTGTGACATCTTGGATGTTAACCCTTTATTGGATATACCATTTGTGAATATCTTTTCCCATTCAGTAGGCTACCTTTTTACTTTATTGATGGTTTTCTTTGCTGTGCAATTTTTTACTTTGATGAAGTCCCACTTGTTTTCATTTTCATTGTCCATGCTTAAGGAGGCATATTTGATCAAATACTGATTTTAATACTCACCTATTTGGCCAAAATGTGTATTCAGTTCAATGTATTTTCATTTTTGTATACTTTAAAATTATAAAGTTATACTACAGTCAGTAGATAATACCACGATATGAAAGACATTTAGAGTGAAGTTTGTTTTCATTGATAGAGGATGTAATTTCATACTTCATATAGTCTTGATAATTTTTTTTCTAGCTTCTTGGGAGGTCTCACTGTATTGTCATTGCTGTTGACTTTGTAATGTTGACAACATCTCACATTAGGAGGGAAATGTCAGCTCTTCTATATTCTCATTTGTTTTCACTTTCATTTTAGTATTTTCTATTCTGTTTCAATGTTTAAGTCTTTTTTAACGCATCTCTCCATTTTCTGAGGATTTTTTCATTAAAACTATGTCCATTTAATTGTACCCCTATAAAACTCAATTTGTCAAAATATACTGAAAACTAACCACTACTTTCAAACCTTCTACATTCTAGAACTTATTCTTACTGCTCAGAATGTCTTTTATAATATATGTGTCTTGGTACCCTTTCATAAACGGCTGGGTGTACCACTGGAGTCAAGTTACATATTATATATTAGTAAAGCTTAAGTAATTTTTTGAAACAAAAACATAAATAGACGGTGTAAACATTTTATTTCTGCACTCCAGTGAAACTTTTCTTTTGCTTTCTCTACTGTGGATGCTAGAATACCTTCAGAAGCCTTTGCAGCCAGGCATGCCCCTGTGTTCTGCTTTTGGCTAATGAAATATAAGCACTTTTGGTAGGATGTGGGGGTTTCCAAGAAAGCTGTGTAACAGAGATGAACTGAGCTAAAATGTCTTTTACCTTTCACCTTTCCTCTTCTTGCTTGGAACACTGGGATGATGCCCACAGAAAGACAAAAGCCATAAGCTAAGTATGGCAGAATTGAGTGATATAAAGAGCTTTGGTTCCCCAATTATTATTAGACTTCTTGTGTGAAATCAATTAACCGCTCAACATTTATGTCTTCTGTAGATCTTTTTTATGTTTTGCTTTTTGGAGCCAAGTGTTTTAACTCATGTAATGATCTTGTATTCCCCTCTATGGACACCACTGTTCTGGTTCATTAATGTTGTAAATGTGCTCAATATCACAGTCAGATAAGATCCAAAATATAAAGGGGCAAAGGGAATAAGCATTTCATTTGATTAAATATAAACATTTCTGTTTTGGTAAGTCCAGTAATGTCTGAATATCTGAATTATGTACTTAGAAAGATTACTAAAAAGATTTATAGAAAAATCTTAAATTCAGAATTGTTAAGTTATTTTTATTTTTCATATTATTTGGATGACAGTATTATCTTCAGACTTTCCAGTTACATGGAATTTTTGCTATCTGGTGGCTTCTCCAATTCCAGGCTATTTAGTAGTTACTCAAATGGTAAAATACTATAATGTATAGAGATGACAAGACACAGCAGATGTGCTTGCATTATAAACACTTGTTTAACATTAGAAGAAGTCAAAGATACAGTACTTGGTAGTATTTCTTTGGTATTATTGTTTACATTTTGCCTTAAACATGATACAAGTTAATCAAATATATTATTGTACTGTTTTTAAAATAGTAGATATTTTGCCTCCTGATTTCAAAATTATTTGTCTTTCTTGGAATACATATTGTATTAAAATGTGTAATTTGGTGATCTGTGTTTATGAGTTGGTTTGTGGCTAAAAAGCTCACATTCTTTTAAGTGTAAAGTCTAAATTGTAAAACAGTAAAAGTAGTATATTCACCAAACAGGGCATATTCTAAGTGATAGTATAATTGCAGGTTTAATGATGTCTTTTGAACATTTTATTAGGAAGGAAAAATGCTCAGAATACAGGGAGTTTTAGGAGGAGAGACCAACATCCAAGGAATTGGGAACAGAATACAGAGACTCTCTTTAGTTAAGCTGCTCTTCAAAATCACAGTGGTTTTCCACGTACTTCCAGCATCTCCCCCAAGATGCCCTCCCTAGTCCATAGCAGCTTTACAGCCCTCCCCATTCCATACCCCGCCAGGTTTCTGAGCGTCTTCTCTCCCACAAAGGAGGCATGAAGACTAACTTCTGAAGCTCGAAGGTGATTAGTAGAAGAGTTAAAACTGACTTTGTTATGGAAGAGCTATTCATTCATGAGAATAGTACTTCTGTATCTTCTTACACTTGAATTTTGACATCATTTTCTGTGAAATGAGAGGCTTTTGAAGGTGTGTGCCTCTTTGGAGCTGTGATTTGGTATATAATATTTATAAGTAAAAGCAGACTTTTTCGTGGGGCTAAATATCTCCTTAACAATCATTTCAATCCATAGAACCAGATCAGAAAATCTTGACTAGAGGACTTGCTTTTAAAGAGTAATGTTAAACAAGTGTTTATAATGTAAGCACATCTGCTGTGTATTGGCAAATAATGAGATGTATCATAGGTAATTAAAAATCAAATATTTTAAAACAAATGCTATTTACTATGAGATAGTTTCATATAATTTTATGACATTTAGTTTTTTTTTTGGCTTGGATATTTTTTCTATTTAAATTTTTCCATGTAAAGTTTTTTCTACTTAATTTTTTTTAAAATTTTGAGATAATTGTAGATTTACATGCAAATTATAAGAAAGATGCCATATACCCTTTACCCAGTTTCTCCCAAAGGTACTATCTTGTATAACTATAGTACAAGGTCACAACCAGGAAATCTACACTGATACAATCCACTTAGTTTATTCAGATATCACTAGTTTTAATGCAGACATTTACATGTGTGGGTCATTATATGCAGTTTTGTCACATATGACAAATTCCCGTGACCACCACCACAGTCAACACACAGAACAGGTTAATCACAAGGATCCCTCCTGCTACCCTTTCAAGGCCACAACACCTCCCTTCTTGCCCCAGTCCCATTATTCCCAGTAACCCACTAATTCTGTTTTCCATGTCTATCATTTTGTCTCTTCAAGAATGTTATATAAATGGAATAATAGACTAACCCTTTGAGATGGCCTTTTTTTACTCAGCAGTATTCCCTTAAGACCATCCATGTTGTGTGTAGCAGTGGTTTGTTCCTTTGTATTACTTAGTGGTGTTCCATGTATGGATCACCACAGTTTATTCATCCATTAAGGGCTACCTGGGTAGTCGCCACTTTGGGGCTATTTAGAATAAAGCCGCTATGAATATTTCTGCGCAGGTTTTTATGTGAACATTTCCATTTCAGTGGGATAAAGTGCCATCACTGGGTCACAGAGTGAGCATGTTTTATTTTGTAAGACGCTGCTATCCTCTCTCACAGTGGCCGGACCACTTTACGTTTCCACTTGGTAGTGTATGAAGAACCCGGTTTCTCCACATCCTCCCTAACATTTGATCTAATAACTAATTTTTAAAAAATGTTAGCCTTTGGATAAGTGTGTGCTGATTCCTCAGTGTGGTTGTTATTTGCATTTACTCTTTTCAGAAACTTACTTGCTTTCTAAATATCTTCTTCAGTGAAATGTCCATGTCTTTTGCCATTTTTTTAATGCTGTTGAGTTTTGAAAGATTTTTTTACCTGAATTCCTTTACCAGAAATGTCTTTCAGGTATTTTCTCCCAGTCTGTAACTCTCGTCATTTTCTTCACAGGATCTTTCCCAGAGCATATATTTTTAATTTTGATGAAAATCAATTTCTCATTTTTTCCACATATGGATCATAGTTTTGGTGTCCAGTATAAGAACTCTTTGCCTAAGTTGTAGGTTCTGAAATTTTTCTCTTAAAAGTTTTATAGTTTTATGTTTTATATTTTAGTCCATGCTCTATGTTAATTTTTGTATAAAGTGCAAAATTAGGTCAAGGCCTTTGGATGTCAGTTGCTCTACCACTATCTGCTGAAAAGCCGTCCTTCCTCCATGGAATTGCTTTTGTACCTGTCAACCATCAAATAGGATTCAATATACTCATGAGGATAAGTAGATACATTTTCACCTGTATTTTGACCCATTCTGATGTTCTTCCCTTTCTGAAGGACTCGGGGTTTTGTTTAATCTTCAGTCTTCGCGGGTAGCCCCCTAGCTGAGGTGTAGCGGGAGAGTTGGGAGGCTGTGTATGTTCAGCTTCCCTGAGCCCTGCCTTCACCACCCTGGCAAAAGTGGAGCACTGACTGACTCACTGCAGCTCAGCTCCTCTTCCTGGGGAAAGTGGGCACTGATTTGCTCAGCCTTTTCGCTGCTGCGTGCACTTGCCGCCTCAGCTCCCCACTGGGTCCTGCTGACACCGGGAGAGGGGATGGGAAAGTACGGTGCTGGCGAGTCCCACGTCCTACCACCTTGTTTCACCCTGTTCATGCCAGGGGGCAGTGGAGGCCCAGATCCCTGCTGAGCCCTGTTGATATCAAAGTGTATTAGTTTCCTATGGCTACTATGACAAATCACCACAAATATGGGGGGCTTAAAAAAAAACAAGAATTTATCTCACAGTTCGGGAAACCAGAAGTCTGAAATCCAACTGTCAGTAGGGCCACACTCCCTCTGAAGGCTGCGGGGGAAATTCCTTCCTTGCCTCTTGTGGCTTCTGGTGACTCTAGGTGTTCTTGACTTGTGGCTGCAAAGCTCCAGCCTCTGCTTCTCTTTTCTGCCTCTTCACATCTTTCCTCTGTGCATCTCATAAGATAGTTGTGATTAGATTTATGGCCCACCCAGAAATCCAGGATGATTTATTTTTTTATTTCTTATTTTTAATTCAGGCCGTTAATAACATCAGCAAAGATCCTTTTTCCAAATAAGGTCACATTCAAGTTTTCATGGATTTCACAAGGACATATCTTTTGGGGAACACCATTCTTCACTCTGCAGGGGGAAGCCATTGATGCTGGGTGGGGGTAGGGGCTGAGCATCCTGCTGGACCTTGGGAACACTGGGGGCCGGGGGTGGACTGTGAAGCTGAGTAGTGACCAGCCCTTCCATGCACAAGCTGGTGAAGTCTTGCTGCTGCCAGGTGGGGGTAGAAGCTCACTTTGCCACTAGACTCTCCTGACAGCACCCCAGCAGGGATAGCAAAGCACCACTACCTGCTTCTGCTGGGAGGAAGATTGAAAATCAGCTCCCTGCTTGAGAAGTCTACGCCACCTGGGAGGGTAATCAGAACGCTGTGTGCTTTGCCAGGGAGAAGATGGAAGATCAGCCCCCTGCTCAACCCTGCTGACACCACAGGGTGGGGGTGTCGGATACCACCACCTGCTGCTGTGGGATGAAAGATCATCTCTCCACTTTGCTCGACTGAAACCACGGGGTGAGGTGGGTGCAGTTTTTAGGTTGATGTTTGGCTGGTATAGGTGGGCGTTGTCAAAAGAGTTTTGTTCTGTTAGGCCACCCTTTTGCTCATAGCCACTCTGATGGCTGAGAGGAATAGACCTTTTCTTGAAGTTTTGTGTTGTTCCTGCCTGTTGGTGGTTCCAGGATGGAGGCCTCTGCAGTGCCCTGTCTGGAATACACGGGAGGTAATAAGGAAACGTGGAGAACTCCCTACTGGGTTAGTCCTTAAGTTCCAAGCTCCCCAAGGCCAGTTTGCCACCTCCTTTCCACCTATGCTTGTCTTCCTATACTTGCTTGTCATGTTATGTGCAGGGTCTTTTACTTTAAAAGGAAGGACTTGGGAGGAATGGGAAACTACATCTTGGAAAGAACCAGAAACTGATTCATGCCTCATTCGATTTTAAATTCCAGATTTTATTCATCATCTATTCTAGTAGAATTCTTTTCAGTTTTTATGTTCATTTCCTATAATTATCAGTTTAAACAGTAAGTGAAAGAAAAACAATTTAAAATATATTTTTAATCTTTAATTAATGCTGACCTCTAACTGTATATATTTTCTTATTGATTCTTCTGCAGAACATTTCTAGGGGAAAAAAGCACAAGATAGAAGTACATTAAGAACACATGTTATTTAAAATCATTTTTATATGGGATTAAAAATTATTTAATGCTGTTCTCTTGTACAACTATGTGTTCTTATTTTCACAAAGTACCTCCAGTAATTTGTACAAGAATACTGTCTAGAATAGTTTAGACAGTATTCTTGAGATGCTGAAGGGGAAATTTGATCAAATGGAAGTGAGCTGAGAAGGCAAGCATAAATAACAGTATTTATGCATATTGACTTCTAAGTAAACTGTAATACCTGCCCCACATGATTTTATATGGCCTCATGTTAAATGGGTTCATTTCCTCTTTAGGAATGATTAATGACCTTTATGATACCATCCTTGTCCTGATGCAGCTTTGTGTGTCTTTATTCCATCTTTTGCATTGAGGATGAAGCTTACTAAATTGGAAGGCATGATTTCTTCAATTATTGTCTGGACCAACATCACTAGTTTGGAATGTGCTGGGTTCCTGTAAACAAAGGAAGAGTTGAAAAATATAAAGAATTTTTAGATTTATCTATTGAATTTACAAGCTTATGGAAAGTAGGATTCTTGTCTTATTCACCACTTGATTCCCTTCATAGGGCTTGTACCTAGAATAAACAGGATACCTAAGATAAATAGTTACTGAAGAAAGAAGGAAAAAAAGGGTAGAGTGATTTGCACATTCATAAACATTTTACATAAAAATATTAAGTAGACTATTTCTTAAAGTCTTCAACTTTAGTCAACTTTTCCTTTTTGTCATCTTACTGACTTTTCTGAGTTACAAAAGTAATATATGATTCTGAAAATTTAAACAATACAGAATTTTCATATTACCCTCATTCTGTTCTGAGATAATCACTATTTATAGTTCCGACTATATTTTTTCAGATGATTGTCTATGTATATATACAAGAAAGTATACATATGTGTATATATATATATGTGTGTGTGTATACCTACCACACATATACATTTTTGGTTTTAGAAAAATATATATTCATTTTTCTGCAACCAGTTTTATTTTCCTCTTAGTAGGATATCATACAACTTTTTTGTGTCAATACTTACATATCTGCTTAGTTGTTCTACATAACCGCATAGAGTATTTAATACTCTATTTAACCAGCCCTTTATAGATTATCACTGGGTTATTTCTTTTTGCTATTATAAATAAAGCTACAATGAAACATCTTTGGAATGTATCCATTTGTACTTTTATAAGAACTTACATAGAATTTCTAGGTTTTGTGCACTTAACATTTTGAAATGTTATCTCCAAATTGTCCTCTAAGAACATACTCTATTTTTATATTCTAGACCAGGATTTTCAAACTGCAGTATGTGAAGACTTTCCAAGGGGTATGAGAGGATGAATAACATTTGAGGGAATAAATATTCAAATCTATAACTTCCATATGTACCTTATCCTTAAACTGAGCTGAGAACATATCACCGATGGAGATATCAGCTTATCCTTTCTCACAAGCCTCTTCACATCACCCTTAGGTTGATTTATAGAACAAAATTATACCTGTCATCCACACAAACAGTACTAGGGTGCTTTACTCTGGTTTACAAAAATCTTTGAGATGCTGAAGGGGAAATTTGATCAATTGGAAGTGAGCTGAGAAGGCAAGCAACTAATGACTTCATAATAAATAATTACCAAGGGGAAATTTGATCAATTGGAAGTGAGCTGAGAAGGCAAGCAACTAATGACTTCATAATAAATAATTACCAAGTCATGTTGTCAGTTCTTTCCTTTCAAGAAAATTTAAGGATCTAGTTGAATTGTCAGCTGATAGGTCATTAAAAATAGTTTTCGATTGAAGATCATTATGTAATTTATAGTACATAACCCAGAAGAATTTCACGGGATTGAATGATACTGCTAGAATTATATTCTTTCAATTTTAACTCACTTACTTCTGTAAACAAAGTTTCTGAGTGCTTGCGTTTATAAAAATGTAAAGTAGGAGTAAACTTGATATTAAATGCTATCTCATTATATTTGTAATATCAATCCACAGTTAAATAAATGAGTGTAACTGTTAGAAGCCATGGACCCTGGAACAAGCCGGCATTGGTTTGAAGCTGAGCTTTGCTATTACCTATGTGTAAACCTGAGAAAGTTACTTAATCTCTCTGGGCTTCCATTTTCTTTTCTGCAAAATGGAGATAGTAATACTACCTACTTCTTGGGGCTATTGTGAGGACCAAATGAATCAATATATGTAAATTGTTTATAATAATCTGGCATATAGTAAGTGCTATCTAAGTTTTGCTAATAATAAAAGATGTTTCAATAACAGTTTGTTTTTGTATTTAATAATTAAATAACATATTTGGTAATATATTTTTTACTTTGATCACGGTGTAATAATGACAATTTAATCCAGTACACTTTTTTTTAACATTTAGATATTTATGGTCACAGGAAATAAAATTAATTTTAAAAATAAAATACTTATTTTTGTAGGTGAGTATGATGATAGGATAATTTTAAAAAATTAAAAGCACAAGATATATTCTGTTAAAATAAAATTATGTGAGGGAACAAGTAAAGATGCAGGATTAAGGAAAAAAGTAATGACATAACATTTCTAACTGTCAAAAGTTGTAGTATTTTGAAATTGAGAATGTAATGGTAGGTTTTAAATTGCTATGGTATTTGGATTCTACTGGATACACTTACAAGGGCAATACAACAAAGCATCAATATTTATAGAATGCTGGAAATTGAACCCTCTTAATCTTAGGAAAAATTTTAATATCAATTTAGAAATGTGCAAGGCGGAATACAGATTTACTAAATTCTTTTAGGGACTATGAAAACTACTGCTCCAACAAACTGTGTGCCCATTTTCTTATACCCTTCTCTATGCAGAGTTCACACTATGTTTGCACTGCCTAAATGGCTGGATTGAGAATATTCACTAGCAGTTTGGACGGTCTTAGATCTCTACTTGAATTTACTAGGTTTACACACTTAAGAAAGCCTTTCCAATATTTACTGGAGAGTACCATTGCTACTGATAATAAGCTTTACAAATTTACTACATGACTTGTTCGCAAATGTTGGCTGTCCAAAATGTTGGGCTGTGCAGAAACAGAAGGTACAAAAGAATCACATTTTATCAGTACATTTCTCTAGAAAGGAGACTATGAAGAAGACTATCTTCTCTCTAGGAAGACGCTGGGCTGAGTTCCCACCTAGATGGGGTACCTAGCTCAGAGCTTATGTCCCATTTTTTGCCGTGGAGAGGGAAAGCTGATGAGGCGCAAGAAGGGGACTTTGCCTGCGAAGCACACTCCAGCGGAGTGCATGCAGCTTCCCAGCTGGGCTTCCTGCCAGCAGCCCATCTACCTCACTGCCCTGGAGCAATAATCCTTCCCTTGTTTTGTTCTCTCCTGCTGTAGAAAATAAAGTCTCAACCATGGACTCAAAACTCACAGATGGGTAGTAAGAGCACACACGTCATCATATCCTCACCGTCTGCATCCACGATCCTGGCTGTTAATGTAAGTTACTGTGAACTTCTTATAATCCTCTAATCCAGTAGAAAAAACACTAAGGAATACAGGACTACGGTGTAATTTTATTTTGACTTCCTGAGGTATTATTTTCTCATTATTGGGAGGTTTGTATCTGACCAATATTAAGTTTTACATCTGTTTTTATGTGCCAGTGTCTTTTATTTAACATAAAATCATTTAGCAAAAATGAAAACTGAGTGAATTTGTGAAATGAGATGTATTCAGTTAATGTACATATGTTTACAGAATATATGTATTTTATGTTGCCATGTTTTCCTAGGCTAGTCACCTGAAGACAGTGACTTAGCTCTGATTTCTCTAGCTTTTCCTGAATTTATCTATTGGATGTTTCAGTCTGTAGGTATCTATTCTCAGTAAGTAGTACATTGGAAAGAATTATTTTAAGGTAAAACGTTCATTGTTGATAAATGTAAGTGTATTATAATGCTAGAGAAATTTATTTTTAATTCACAAAAATTCCTTAATAATTCACAGAAGTGATTCTAATGGAGAAATATAAAAATCTCAGGTTAAAGTTAACTGCAGGAGGGAAATATTTGTGTATGTGTGAGTAGTCCCAGAGACCTCAAGTCATATATTATAGAGAACTATCTATTCTGATTATATTTAAGATGACATTTAAAATATTAAAATATTTAAAAATTACTTTAAAAACTGTTCTAACCCTGGAACAAGCCGGCATTGGTTTGAAGCTGGGGTCATTTCCACCCCCCCACAACGTGTTATCCAGTCTTGATGAGTTAGGAATCTTTTAGTTAACAAATCACAAATTGGACTGAAAAAACTGTCAAAATAAATAAATGTAAACACTTACTCTTGCAGAGGAGAACATACATAGCCACAAGCATGGTTATGACCACAGATGTAATTTGAAAATGGAGGAAAATCCACACTACTAGCTAAGTGATTAAAATAAAATTAAAATGAAACTTGTTCTACAGAAATGAAAATTTCTATTTGCAGTAGCATATTTAAAAAAAGTATGACATAGCATTAACTTAATAATAGCATTAAGTTAGTTATTATCAGTCATATAATAAATCATATGTGCCATATACATGTGTCTGTATGTTGGCACATAGGATGTATACACAGGCCAAACCTGAAAAAATACAATATGAGCACTATCGTCCTCTCAAACTTTTTCATGCTAGTAGTTCTAAAGATGCTGTTACCTTTTACATACAAGGAAAACTGTAAAAAGTGTAATTTAATTACTTTCTGAGATCTGAAGTGAAAGGAAAGGAGCGACACACAACAGCAATTCACCGGAGAGTTCCGCTTTATTAGGGAAAGGTGCTGGGTTATATAGGATGGGGCATAGGGTGATTGTGGTGTTACTTCTACGGGGCTGGTGGCTGTTGGCTAGGTGCTGGGATTGGGAGGGGGGCGAGAGGTGATTGGGCTTCAGGTGGCGCCGGCGGGAACCGAGGACCCCGAAAAGAAGCCGGAAGTTCTCTTCATAATAAATAATTACCAAGGGGAAATTTGATCAATTGGAAGTGAGCTGAGAAGGCAAGCAACTAATGACTTCATAATAAATAATTACCAAGTCATGTTGTCAGTTCTTTCCTTTCAAGAAAATTTAAGGATCTAGTTGAATTGTCAGCTGATAGGTCATTAAAAATAGTTTTCGATTGAAGATCATTATGTAATTTATAGTACATAACCCAGAAGAATTTCACGGGATTGAATGATACTGCTAGAATTATATTCTTTCAATTTTAACTCACTTACTTCTGTAAACAAAGTTTCTGAGTGCTTGCGTTTATAAAAATGTAAAGTAGGAGTAAACTTGATATTAAATGCTATCTCATTATATTTGTAATATCAATCCACAGTTAAATAAATGAGTGTAACTGTTAGAAGCCATGGACCCTGGAACAAGCCGGCATTGGTTTGAAGCTGAGCTTTGCTATTACCTATGTGTAAACCTGAGAAAGTTACTTAATCTCTCTGGGCTTCCATTTTCTTTTCTGCAAAATGGAGATAGTAATACTACCTACTTCTTGGGGCTATTGTGAGGACCAAATGAATCAATATATGTAAATTGTTTATAATAATCTGGCATATAGTAAGTGCTATCTAAGTTTTGCTAATAATAAAAGATGTTTCAATAACAGTTTGTTTTTGTATTTAATAATTAAATAACATATTTGGTAATATATTTTTTACTTTGATCACGGTGTAATAATGACAATTTAATCCAGTACACTTTTTTTTAACATTTAGATATTTATGGTCACAGGAAATAAAATTAATTTTAAAAATAAAATACTTATTTTTGTAGGTGAGTATGATGATAGGATAATTTTAAAAAATTAAAAGCACAAGATATATTCTGTTAAGATAAAATTATGTGAGGGAACAAGTAAAGATGCAGGATTAAGGAGAAAAGTAATGACATAACATTTCTAACTGTCAAAAGTTGTAGTATTTTGAAATTGAGAATGTAATGGTAGGTTTTAAATTGCTATGGTATTTGGATTCTACTGGATACACTTACAAGGGCAATACAACAAAGCATCAATATTTATAGAATGCTGGAAATTGAACCCTCTTAATCTTAGGAAAAATTTTAATATCAATTTAGAAATGTGCAAGGCGGAATACAGATTTACTAAATTCTTTTAGGGACTATGAAAACTACTGCTCCAACAAACTGTGTG